TGATTCTATCTAACTCCTGCAATGAAAGCCAAGACTGCATTAGGTACCTAAACACCTTACACAGAGTATAGAGAAGAGTTCAGTTTTCTACTGTTTCTTTCAGAGATGTTTCATGCACTAAAATAATCCACATATACGTGTGCCATTACATGATAGGAGTACAAACAAATGGAGGGCCAAAACTTACTAAACGTACAAATAAATTTCAAATACCTCTGTTGGGTGGAAGATGATGTTATCTATTCTGAAGTCCCCATGAATCAGGCTTTCTTCATCATCATCAGGTGGCAAGTTGTTTGCTAACCACTCAGCCAGCTTGTTCATGGCAGGAATATCTGTATGAGCAGCTGCATCATACTGTTTTTTCCAAGTTGATACCTAAAAAATGCAAACACTCCAACAGATTTTTCAGTTGATTCACAAGATTTTCAAGAGTATAAAATTTTGAAGCACGGGCTTTGGCTATCACCGTGTGACTTGAAAATTCACTAAAACCTAGTACCTCTGCATTTGCAAATTTGAACTGAGATATCAAAAGATGAAATTAAGACTACATCTATTTCAATCCTATTTACATAACCCAAATCTAGTGTTATTCCAAAAGCAAATGTATATCATTCCCCAAGTACAGCATTACAGAATCAATCTGAATGTAACAGTGGCTTCAAATTGTGCACAATTAATTGAACTAAGTGAAAGTTCAATAGCTAAAATATGATTATTAATAATTAACAATTTAGCTTGCAAGTCAAATAAACAGTCAAAGACCAGACAAAACAAGAGAACGTTAAGAGCTGTACCTGTCTTTTGCAGTATCCTGGTCCTCTACCATATCCTTGGAGACCCAATGACTGTAAGTCAAAGGAGTGCAACAGGGCCAGAGTTTCTATCATTGCAAGATACAGAGCAGAACGCTCTGCTGGGCCCACCTCAGGCAGAGAGATGTCTCGGAAAATGCGACCCTAGAAATACCATAAATCAGGTATTTGGTGGGATGTATACATCAGATGAAAAGAAGTAAAGCTATACATTTCACAACCAAAAACAAACGTAATGAACCAACACGCCCTGTGCAATCAAAAATTCCTTCTTCAGTTATTTTATTCCTCACCCAGGGCCAATGAAGGGATTCACACTAAACCCAGGTCATTAGTATATGGTGTACCTGTAGATGAAATTCTGAATTAGAACACTAAGTCCAGATATCCTCAAGCTTGAAAGTACCAGGAAAAACAATGTTACCATATTGTCTCTAAAAACTAAATTGCAGAAATAATGCCAATGAAGACTCCAGAGGAAAGGAGGGGCAGGCAGGGGAATGGGTGGGTTGTGGGTACAAAGACTCAAACAATCCAAAGAAATTCACTTGCTTTTCTCCTGAAAAGCAGTTGAATGTAGAAGATGAGTTTGTTGTTCCATTTTCACAATTGTTAAAAAGAGAACAGTGCTGATGATGTAGAATGGACAGACTGTACATTTACATACATCGAAAAGTAAAAAGGTTTATTTTTAAGGAATCACTTTGTTCTAATCAAAACCAGTAAAATTCTCCACCTTTGATGTAAGAAATCTATTTCAAATTTTTCACAGCCCTTACCTTGATTTACGGTTTTTGTAGGAAGGTTAACCTAATCTTCCAAAACTGGCCCACAAACTTACATTTCTAATTTCCCAGTGAAGTTGATGATAGAATAGGATGCAATGAAAAGGGAAAGGCCTGAATTCAACTCTTCCTCCCACAGGATTAAAATAAAGGACACAGAACAGCAGACTTTTGCTCAAAATCACCAAAATCTAACAAAAAGCATATCAACTCAGCTACAGCCCCCACAGAGCGGTGGACCACAGACCGAGATATACTTTGCTCTTTCTGAAACTAGTGTTTCAACTGGAATCCTGCTTTGTTTTCAAGAAAAGGTGATTGTATGTCAGCTCCTATCTTCAATACTACACAGGTTCCAGGATGTCCAAAGATTCAGTTTACAGACTGATTTTTTCCCTCTGACTTGTGTATGCTTTTCACAGACACAACATTGCCTCATTTCAAGATATTCTTCCAAGAGCTCAAACGAGAACAAGAGGTTAAATACTGAGCTAAAAAATTCAACAAAGTGTGAAATAAGCCCTGCAGAAGCTGAAATCTGTGAGAATCACTGATAGCTAGCAGTTATTTAAAATACCAGAAGATTATTTACACTCATATCACAAAACTGTGCTGGGTAAGGCTCTAACAGAAAGGTTTTAGACAACTTAAAAGTAGCCTGTAGTAGGGTGAAGGAAAGAATCTCTCACATTGGAGGACCAACCTGCACATGCTGCATTACATAAAACTCTGTTCCAATGATAGAAACGTCACTGCAATACAACAGGGGCTCAGGCACTGGAAACCCAGCTGAAAATAAGGCTTTCTGCACACGATATTCTCTATCGACCTGAAGAAGACACAGAAAATTAGGTTCAATTAAAACCTCACAAACAAAAATGAGCACAGTGAATCCTCTTGAACGTTTAATTATATGTAGAGCATAGAATATGGGAAATAATCCAGCAACTCACTGCATTTCTGGACACATTCATCAATGTGCTGGACCATCATGTATAGACCCTGGTCACCCACAAAACAAAGTGTTTGGAGCTCAGTGAAGAATGTTACTTACCTTGTGTGCTCCAGGTAAAAGGGGACCATGAGGCTTCTTCCTGAGCACAAAAGTCTGCCCACCCTTCTGAAGGTAAAAGGTTGGGTTTGACTGGCCTGAGCTGCAAAGAGAAAGATTTACTCAAACATGAATTACTCAAAAATTCAAGTACTTACAAATTTGTAAACTTCTAACAGAAACGATACTTGCAAAATGCATCGTGACTTGATCTGAACAAAACGGAAGGATGGTGGAAATTATCTTCTCCAGAGCTGTTTTGTGTTGTGGGTTTTTTTCAAATCTGGACTGGAACAGGCTGCCCAGAGAAGCTGCAGATGCCCCATTTCTGAAAGTGTTCAAGCCCAGACTGGATGGGGCTTTGAACAACCTGGTCTAGAGAAAGGTGTCCCTGCCCATGGCAAGGGGACTGGAACTAGATATCTTTAAGGTCTCTTCCAGCCCAAATCACTCGATGATTCTATTCTGTGATTAAATTACTGATGACTCTAGCATCAAGCCCCAATGTTTGCCAGCCTGGTTATCATGTCCAGAGATTATGCTTAAGGGACAGCCTATAGGAACTGTAAAATTTTAAAGAATGCATGCTGGAGTCACAGAGAAAATGAGACATTTCAATCACACATGTAAAAGAGGACAACCCAGTTAAACCCTTCATAATACCTTGTCTATCATATTCCAATCAAACACATTGATCCTTATTTTCCTCAAGGCTCTGTGTTAATCTGCATGCTTTTCTCTCCTTATTCAGGTTCATCATTAAGATGTATTCTGACCAAGTTCAATAAATGATTAGAGAACCGTAGGGAAATCAAAATCAAATTAACTTCTGCCCTAATTTCTCCCATTACATTTCCATTCTCCCCAAAGCAGTTAGGGCAGTTTGTAATAGTTTAAAAAGTTTAACTGATAAACACTCTGCCTGGAACAAAAAAAATTTAGGCCAGCTGAAGCCGTGAACTGTAATTACAAGACAAAGAAGTAAAAGCATAAATACTAACAAAATTTTAGCAGACTTTACTATTAGCTACTCTCCTAAGGCCCCTCCTAAAATCTTCTCAGTTGAGGTACATAGGAAGATTAGGGAAGATTGAATGAATTAATGTTTTATATTTAGATCAGAAGACAATGAAAAATTGTTCACTGTTTCTTAGTGATAGCTGCAGCTAAGTTAGTCAAGGTCAGGCCTGCAGAAGAATTAATCCTTATTTTTAGAATAACTTTACTTCTAATAGTTAGTTCCTGACGTGAAATCGTGCAGCCACACCAGTGATTCGCTGAATGCAAACGAACTCAGCGCTCTATGGAAGAGGCTTTGGAACCCGCTTGCAGCACCTCCCTGGCGCACTGCTTAATGCTCTCCGGGCAGTACCGGGAATCTCGGCACATCCTTACGCTGTTCTCGTGGATTTGCTTATCTGGTGTCAGCCTAAGGCTTTTAATTGATTTCTTAAGCCAGGTATGTGCTTCTGAAATAACTATTTGCTGTGCAATTAAAGATGGAGCAGATCAATTGCGATTTATGCGTAGGCAGTAAAACAACCGTGGGTGTAACTCTGAGGACAGCGGCAAGTCCATCCAACACACAGCACGCACGCAGCCAGCCACAGACTGAATGTGACAAAGGTCACTTTGGCCGCCACCGCAAACTTCGCCTTCTCCAGCAACTCAAGCGACGAGCTGGGACGTCCCTTTAATTGGACTAAGTCAGAACGCATCTTAAAAACCCATCGATGGCTGCTGCCCGCCGTCCCGATGGCAAAGGGCTCTTCCTCTGACCACTTTCCCTGGCAGGCGGCAGCGAGCGGCTCCTCTGCTCGCCTCTGCCGGGCGCTCCGGGACATGGGGGCGGCGGCGACCACGCCACCTGTGTCAGGCACCTGTCACCAATGTCACCAGTGTCACCTGTGTTACCTGTACTGCCTGACAGCCAGCGCGCCCGCGGGCTGCCCAGGGAAGCCGGGCAAGCGGCTGCTCAGGTACCGCTCCAGGCTGCCCTGGTCGAAGCGGTGCTGCCGCCGCACCTCGCTAGTGCCCGGCTCCGCCGCCATCCTCGCAGGCCGCGCCGGAGCCCGCCCCGGCCGGGTCACCCGGAGGCGCCTCGGTCCGCCAAGGAAAGCGCTTCGCAGCCCCCTGGCTGCCAGGCCCGGTGCCTTCTCCCGGAACACGACGTTTCCCGGGAGGCAGGGACCGCCCCGGCAGCCTGCGTCCCTCAGCCCCGCCCGCTGCCGGGAGTGGGAAGGGCCCGCCCCAGGAAGAAAGGACCCGCCTCGGGAAGGAAGGCCCGCCCCGGGAATGGTCGGCCCCGGTACTTCCCGGAAGCTCCCAAGGCCAGGAACAGACGTGTCGCTGCCATGGCGGATCCCGGGCGGCTGGAGTGGCTGGAGCGGCGTGTGCGGGAGCTGGAGGAGGAGCTGGGCCGGGAGAAGCGCGGGCGGGGAGCAGCGCGGGCCCGCATCGACACCATGAGCGCCGAGGTGACCGATTCCAACCCCTACAGGTGCGCTGAGCGGCTGTCAGGGTGCGGAGGATGGGCGGCAGGGAGGGCCGTGGGTCGGAACAGGGGTCTGGGTGAAGCGGGAGAGGCACACGGGGCTGGAGGAAGCTCGGGTGGGAATCTCGGGGATGGGGCTGGGTGTGCTCAGGAGTGTCGGCCGGTGCAGGAGGCAGGTGCTCCGTGCGGAGCAGGGGAGAGATGCTCTTGGATTTCCCACCTGTCTGGGCTGGCAGGGGCGGATGTCAGGGTTACTTTGTATTATCTTGCTTTTCAATACGGGCGGGGAGAGAGAGACAGAGGAAACCTTGTGAGTTTTTCGGCTAGGTTGCTTGTAAATGGGACAGGTGTCGGTATTACATAAGGTCTTATTCTCATTCCTCCAAATTGCCTAATTTAAAAGTTGGTTTATAGAATTCTTGAGCTTTAGAGACCCCTTTCCTTCTAGAAATCTGATAGATCAAATCAAATAGATGATTTTTTTGGGTTTTGTTTTGTTGGTTTGGGTTTGGTTTTATTTTTCCTTAATACAAGTTAATACTTGTACTTTCAATAAAAATACAATAGAGGGATAGAAAGTTACTTTAAAATCCTTTCAGTTATCCTCAAAACCTGATCGTCTCTATTAATTTTTTTAAATATTATGTTAATCTAATCAAATTGATCTGAAAACAGTGCAAGTCTTTACTAGTTTGCTGCCATATGGTTCATTACGACAAAAAAAGTGTCATCTGTCATTTTGTAAATCAGGGATTCATTTACAAAAATAGCTGATAGTCCTCCTGATTTCATTGATATTACACGTACCAGAGGAATAGGTGCATGAGTTTCTGCAGGATTAGGACTGGTGCAAATAGGAAAGCATCTGCTCTGTAACTCAGACTGTACTCAGCTGGCAGTCACAACTGGAGTGGAAGCAGCATTGAGTTTGAGCTTGAGTTTATTGCTTGGTGAGGTTATTTCTAAAGCAAAAGTGATTTTAAATACCTGGAAAGCAAAATTGTTGTTAGAAACATAACATTTTCTGTGTAATATTGCATTTTTTTTCTTTGTAGTCGCTTGATGGCGTTAAAAAGAATGGGAATTGTCAAAGACTATGAGGTAGGATTCTATCTGTAATGAAACACTGCTTGCATTTTTTCTCTGGGAGGACCACTTTTGAGATACTGATCTGTACATTGTTTCTTTCTACAGAAAATCCGTACCTTCACAGTTGCAGTAGTAGGTGTTGGGGGCGTTGGCAGTGTGACTGCTGAAATGCTGACCAGGTGTGGCATTGGTAAGGTAATGAGAGTTTTGGGTTTTTTTTCTGCTGTATCTTTATAGTAGATGGACCAGTCCCCTTCATAAAAAATTTAATTTGATTTCACTCTGTTGATATTATCCAAATAAAAAAATCTTTTGAAGAAAGCACTCAAGAATAACACTTGTGTAAACATTGCACATGAAAAGTCTGTGTTTTTATTATGCTGGTAAAATTGATTTATTTAGGGCTTAATCCTGTGTCACGTGGATGATTCTTGTTTGGATGTTTGTCACCTCCATGTTCTTATCACCTCCATATTCTTATATGAACCCATGTCTCTAAACTTCATGCTGGATTACAGCAAAAGGAAAACAAAATAAAGAAAAAGGAGGGGGTATTTCACATAAAAGTTAAATTCTTATAAGAACCAAGTTTATATCATGCAATTGAAATGTAGTAGATCACAAACAGATTATCACAAACATTAGTTTGTCACGTGGCAGCAAGTAGGAATGTGATAATAGACGTGATACTCTGTAGGTTATTCTGTTGAATATTCTTAGTTAAGATCACATAAGGAGTTAACTTTTTATTGAGTAATTTTAATGAGTTAACAGTTTTTCACGTTGGTACCTCTTGTATGTGAACTGAATGGGCCTCTAGGGGAGGGAGTTTGGTTGGGGGAGTTCTCTATGGTTTTGGTTTTAGAATTAGTTTTGTTGTTCAAAATGCCTTGCCACAATGCTGTTTGCAGAGTTTCTGGAGATTCACATGTGTTAAAACAATCTTTATTATAGCTGCTTCTGTTTGATTATGACAAAGTGGAACTGGCAAACATGAACAGACTCTTCTTCCAACCTCATCAAGCTGGATTAAGTAAAGTACAAGCAGCAGAACATACTTTGAGGTATTACTTGGAGAAGTGGGTATCAAAATGTGATTAGCCAGGATGCTGCTCCAGGAAACCAATGTTTCACTCTTAATCATTTGCAAAGGAGCATGATTAATTTAGGAATTTGAGTATAAAGTATTTGTGGGGATGATTGATACTTCAGAGATATTTTTGTACTGGCCCAAACCTTAATGTGAGTCTACTTTTTATGTATAGCCAATTTTGCTCAGGAGTTTGGTATAAATGATGCCACTTCTGTATGTTATGGGTTTTTTTCTTACCTAATTTGAATTTTTGACAAATATGAGTGAATTCTAGAGTGCAGACTGGAAACTTAAGATTGTAGCAACACTCGTGAAGAGTAGAATGAAAATTATCATTATATTCTTTCCTACTGACTCCTATTATTTCCTCCATAAGGGAAATTAATCCTGATGTTCAGTTTGAAGTACATAACTACAACATCACAACACTGGACAACTTTGAGCACTTCATGGATAGAATAAGGTAAAATCCCTCAACTTTAGCTGTTGCTAACTTCTGGTGATGTGTGGTTGTACACAACCTCACATTTTTCTTGTTGGGGCTCTTTTTCAATTCAATAACTTCCAATTGAAAACCTCTGGGAAATAATATGTATATGAAGACATTCCTGCCTAGATGTGTTCACTACAGCTGGCATTTATTTCTACTGTTACATAGTTATTTTTTATATGAGTGCATCTTTAGATTTCCAACCAAAACTCTAGGTTTTCCATTATGGAAAACAGATCAGATCATATCTTGAGTGCTCTGTAGTAGTTTCAGATATGATTTATAGAATGAAGAAGAAAGTAGTTATTAGTGGATCTCATAGATATCTGAAATAACTTAGACCATTTGCAGTTCTGTTGTACAAAGGTACAATTCTCCAATACTTTGTACTGTGAGTGCTTACTATATAAAACAAAATCACGTCTTCAGCATGGTGTTGTTTCTACTGCTGTTCTGCATTTGCACAAGTTTTGTTAGAAATTCACTTTTCTTGGGCTTCTGTACCCTAAAGCAGAATGTTGGTTGTCTTGTTAGTGTTTTGTTCTGCCAGCAGTTTCATGGAAGCCTCTGATGGTTGTTTCAGTAATGGTGCACTGGAGGAAGGGAAGCCTGTGGATCTGGTTTTAAGCTGCGTGGACAACTTTGAAGCTCGTATGGCAATTAACACGGTAAGGCCACCAAAGAGAAGTGGAAGTCTGTTTTCTCCTATAAATAATGTTAGTAATTGTGGAACTGTAGAAAAGACAGGAACTTTATAACAATCTCCTAAGAAATGTCCCCCTTGGCTTGAGGAGTCTGAACTTTTACCCAGTTCTTATAAACCTATTTTATGTGTATAAACATCACTGAAGACTTTAAAGTTACTATCAGCTAATGGTTAGTAAAAAATTGAAGTATCATAAACTCTGTCTTTTCAAATTGCTCTGTTTATATAATGGTATTTTCAAAGGCTGGTATGTTAAACCTTACAAACTTTTAATTTTCCATAGCTAATTGTATACTTTACGTGATTTTTTTTGTATACTAAAAATGCTGTTTATTTAATCAAACTGTTTTTATTTATAGTAGCAGCCAATGTAGGGTATATGCCAAATGTATGTTTTCTGTTACCCTTCAGCTGACTTGATCCATAAATTGCAGGCAGAGGAGACAGATACACTGTACTCAAGCCTCTAAAAATAGTTTGTGGAATTATATTCTGTAGTGTGCTGTAACTGGGTCACTAATGTCTGTATTTATTAAACTATCTCAGGTCCTCAGAAAAGCACAAAGGACTGGCTTCACGAGGGCAACTTCAGTTTCTTGTTTGATTTGTCCTTTGATAAATAATTTCTCTTCTACCTCTTCATGTCCCTTTTTCTGACCATAGCCTTTTTGCCTGAAAGCAGGGAGATAAATTGGGAATAATGAAACATTAATCACATTGTTTGGATTCCTCTTCTTTTCATTAAACTTTTGCTGTGCTGACGTGTGTGTTTCTGGTTTTTTAAGGCCTGCAATGAACTTGGGCAGATCTGGATGGAGTCTGGAGTGAGTGAAAATGCAGTGTCAGGACACATCCAGCTGATCATACCTGGTGAATCCGCTTGTTTTGCGGTATGTGGTGCTCTGCTGAGTTGCTCACTTGCCTTTCAGAGTGGGACTGGGAATGTGAAGATTAGCTGGCCTAGTGAGTGTGATTCTGGCACAGCTGATGCAGTACCTTAAAATTCTGTGTGATCTGTGGGATTTCTTGAATGCTTTTTTACAGTTTAATTTCTCTATTGCTCTCAGTGTGCTCCTCCACTGGTAGTAGCTGCAAATATTGATGAGAAGACATTGAAACGAGAAGGAGTTTGTGCAGCCAGTCTTCCTACAACCATGGGTGTTGTGGCAGGAATGCTTGTACAAAATGTTCTCAAGTAAGTGACTGAGTTATTGCTGTTTGATATGTACAGCAAAATATGAGAAAAGAAGTCCTAAAGGAACATTTCATAATGACAGATCTGGTTATTTTTACATGTTCATGGCTTGTTTCCTAATGGTGCTGGCAACATTGAACAGGGCTGAAATACACATTGCTTGAATTTTAACTAGAACTTTTCAGGAGTAAGAAACGGTGTTGTTGTTTTCCAAAGAATTTCTGTTACTGCATACACACATGCACGTTTTTTTCTTAGTTCTGCATTTAAACATGCTTTGATTTGACATTAAGTATACTTTAAAAATGCTACAGTGCTGACTTGTCTTGGAAATTTTGTACATGGACAAAGAACAAATTACTTCTCTTGCCTGTAGCCGAGTTATTCTCACACACCACGAGAAAATGGGATTCTCTTTTGATCCAGTTATTCTGTTGCCAGCTGACTACAGCATAACTGTATTTAAGGCAATTACAGTAACTCTACAACTTCATGAGTCTGAAAGTGTATTCTAAAAGTTCTTTGCAGAAAGATTATTCCCTGAGCACTTGTATTACAAGCTCCTTCTTTCTCTGTCTTTCTAGATACCTGTTAAATTTTGGTACTGTGAGTTATTATCTTGGATACAATGCAATGCAGGATTTCTTCCCAACTATGTCTATGAAGCCAAACCCCCAATGTAGTGACCACAATTGCAGAAAACAGCAAGAAAATTATAAGGTAAAAACAGTTTGGGTTTGTAGATCAATTTCTTTATTTCCCTTTTCTCAGAGAACAAAGCAAGCTGCAAATCTGTAGTAAAAGAAAATGTTCGTTGCTTCTCCAGTTTGCAGCAGTTGTCTTCAGATGGTTGCACATGTTTCTAAATACACAGTACTTACAGTTACCTTCAAGAAAAGTGTAGAAAAAAAGGTTGAGCAATTATGTAAAAGAAAACATTACTTAACTGAATGCAAACTTTTCTGGCAGTTTCTGAGTGTTAATGGGTTTGGTGTTTTTTTTGAACTTGCAGGTATTCTGCCTTTTTTCTCCTAAGCAGCCACCATTTAGAACTTTTTTGTCTTCCATATTGAAAGAAATGTGAATACTAGACTTGAACTTCTTTGCTGTTCTTGGAAATTGGACTGGTAAATTTTGGTTATTGAGGGGTCTATTTTTTTCTGTTTTCCCTCCAGAAAAAAGAAGCTGCAAGACCAAAAGAAGAAGTAATTGAAAAGGAAGAAGAAATAGTACACGAAGACAATGACTGGGGTAAGTCATAAACTGGATACTAAATGGTGTTCCCAATACTGAGATTCAATTTGGGTTAACACAGTTTAGGGTACATAGAATTCTTCTAATTCCTACTCTTTGTAACCTACACTGTGTAATTACTGTTGGCTTTTCACAGGTTTTGGAAGTAATTTTATCACAACTATATTTTTAGTGCAATGTGCAAGTCTTAGGCTTAAAATGTAATTGTTTGAGTAAAAACAATTCTCAAAAGATGGTCTGAAGATGAGAGAGATATGAGAAGCTGTACTAACTGTATATTCCTTTTAAATATACAAAAGAGCAATTTTCATTTCCATAATCACTATACTTGGGCATCCCATGGATTTTTACATTCCTCTAAGGGTTTTAAATTAGAAGGAATTATCTTAAGGAATGGTAAATGTGTTTTATATAGCCATTTTAAGAATGGAGATATATGTACTGTTCATCACATGCTATAGAAAATCTTATCATACAACTGGGAGAAGTGTCTTTACCATAAAGTTTAAATGCTAAGGGCAAGTAAGAGATGTCATTCTGATTCATAAGTTGCCTATATATAATTATTTCATATACTGTAAAGGGAAAATATTTTGTATTGATAATGGAATGAAGTTGTTGAAATCAAAGGTGTTTCTGCTTTAATTTTATTCTGTTTTGGGAAAGCAGCTGCAGCTTTCCTCTTACTGTGATAACTTGGTCATTGAAGAACTTTTTCTTCTAACTTTTAATGGAGTTCTTGTTTCCTTTTACTGCAAAGGCATTGAATTAGTATCAGAAATTTCAGAAGATGAACTGAAGGCAGCATCTGGCCCGGTACCTGAGCTTCCTGAGGGAATTAGTGTAGCATATACTATCCCAGACAAGGTAATGTATTTATTCTTTATGAAATTTTGAAATACACATTGTAGATTGAATTTATAATACCAGCCAGTTTGGTTACCCTTTAAACCTAAAACAAAATTCCGTCTTGAACGATTCCAGTGAAACTTGATCTCAGTTCATTTGATTATTCCTTTTCATGGTCCAGTTTTGTGTTCCTAGGAAAGACACTTAAAGAAGTGTGGATGCTAATGTGAATGTACTGCTGAGATGGTAGGAATGAATGCATTTGGGGGCAGGGGGAAGGACAGCAAATGTGAATTTCTGTGTTGATATTTTGGTGACTAATGAATGTTTACCATACCTGTCTTGTAAAAGCTGTATGTAGTCAAAGAGCAATGAGTATACCTGGGGAACATAGTCTGAATGTATTGCAGTAAGAACATTCTAGCTACTGATCAAAATAATTTACAATTGAAGCTTATAATCACTTAGGCCTAATCTCACAACTGAGTGCCTGGTTCTGGGAAAATGGTGTGGTGTAACAGCAATAAAACAGATCTGTGGAGGTTTTTTGTTTACTTTTTTGTTGACATCTTTTTTTTCCTGTTCCTAACAGGAAGAGAATTTAATAACTGGGGAGGCAGTAGCAGAATCTGAAGAAAGCCTAGAAGAACTCATGGCCAAAATGAGAAACATGTAGAAAAACAAATATTAAGTACAACTTTCATGAGTTTGGATGGACCTTGGATTTTTAGAAGACCACACTTCTTACTTTTTTCTTTTTTTTACCTCCATTGAAGCTCACCTTTACTTTTCTGATGAAACAACTTACAATGTTACAGGGGCAGGAAGGACACAGACTTACATTATTTATATTCTATTTTCTCATCATGTCTTTCTTAACAGATAGGGTTGTGCTACTGTAAATTTGTTTCTCAGCATTGCTAGTGTCCAGGTATAAAGTGACAAATAAAAGCACCTGTACAAACTGAAAAAGCAGGCACACGACATTATATATCCCATCATGTGATGAGAATAGCACATAGAACAGGCTAAGGGAAAGATGAAATCTGCTGGAGTGGACTGAGTAGGTGAAGGGCAAATGACAATGCCTCTCTCATGTTGCTGCTCCTCATTTCCCAGGCAGTTGTACTTGGTTGTCATTCACTGGTCTAAAGTCTTGGTGTGGACCATGCTGTAGCTACTTTTTCTGAGTAATGAGAGCATCTATGCCTTTTCATCTGCCTTAAATATTTCTGGGATGGAATTTTCTTTATCAGTGTCTTACTACTGCTTGTCCTTAAACAGCTGCCTATGTTTTGTATGTGAAGTTTTGAGAATACTGTAAGAAGGTGAAGTATTTTGTTAGTATTACATTAGCCTGCATATTAGCGTGCCATTATTTTGTTTGGCAGATTCTTTCCATGACAAAATTATGAGCAACATTGGAAAAAATGTAGATTTTGTCTACCTTTTTAAAAGTCTAAATATTATATTTTTGTTGGTTACTGAAAGTTGAGCTGTAATTCTGATCACTGCTAATCACATGGGCTATATTAAGGAATATAAATCTGAATTTGCATAGGAAGTCTTCTAAAATTAGAGGCTATAAATTTTTAGTTTTGCAAATATCTTAATTGGAGTAGCTCATCTGTTGTATTTGTCTTGTATGCAGTCTATAACCTTTTAAACGGCCATGTGTTAAACGGACCTGTAAATGTTTGCATCCTGGAGTGCCAGTACCCTGCAGAACTGGAAGAATCAGTTTCAAATATTTTAACTGCTGTGGGCATCTAATCCAGAACTTGGTAATTATTTATTAGCAGTGTAATACAAGTATTTCCAGGTTGGACTCTTCAGAAATCTTTTCTGCAATGTGATGCAGCCAACACAGAGCCAGCTAGTAATGGTAGTAGTAGTATTCCACTAAAATGTAAAGAGACAGCAATACCATGGTGGTGCTTCTGTTTCTTAGGGCAGCTGAATGAATACCTGTTAGAGTAATAACTAGTTTAAAATATGTTTCATTTCTAAGGAATGGTTACAAAATTCAAAATCAGTTTCCCTCACAGCTGACAACAAATTACATACATACACATATATATATATATATATATATACATACACACACATATATATAATATATATATGAGTGTTTCTATTTTAAACATATATGTGTATGCTGAACTCAATGCTGATTAGTTTTCTCTAAGGTATATAATACACAGAAAAATAATTTCTGAAACCAGAAACCAGAGAGATTTTGGGTGTATTTTGAGTATGGGGCATTATACTGTAAAATTGAAGTGGCTTTTTTGGGCTGAGTTCTGTTTTGGAGAAACCAGGTTTTAGAAATGAACTGTAAAAAAAGATAGGAAATAGAATAATGAGACCATTGGAATGGCAGATACTTGAATCTGTGTCACTAAGTCTACCTTAGCTTGATCCAGTGTCAGTTTATGTGCTACTTATATTCCTCTCTGACTTTCACCTCTCTGTTGGGAACAATAAAAGTCAGGCACACAGCTGGCTCTGGAGAGGCAAATGGCTGACCCATTTCCACAACAGCTCAGTTCATCCTGACTCGAATATTTGGCTGACATGGCTGCTATCACAGGATTGACAGTTTTATGAGAGGCAACTTCAGGTACACTTTTATGAGGGAATTAGTACACTTTTGTATGCACTGTTAGAGTGCACAGAATGGTTCCTGTGTTTCTTTTAGACTTTCAACTTGTATATACAAGAATTTGAAATAATCAGAAAATATATAAAGGTTGATTGTGTGTCAGTGGTTAAAGTTATTTAAAAATAAACAGCATCCAAGAAAGCAGTGTTAAGGGTTTTTTTTTTTTTTTTTAAATTAAAAATATGTTTACATGTATAATGTAGTCTAACTGTAAAACAGAATATTTATTGCTTCCTTAGTTATGAACTAACAACTCAAAGTACATTGCCGTGATTAAGTCCAGCTTTGTTTATTTGGCAATTTTATAAAAGTGTTCAGTTTTTACAGTCTCATGAACATTATTAAGATGTTGATATTCTGAGTGTAATTAAATCTCCATTGAAACTGGTGAGCCTCTGCTTTGAGGTGGAGTTCTCCTACACAGAGGTATTATCTGGCATATCCCATATCTATAAATGACTTTTCCTTGCTGTCCATGAGGTACAGCTCCATGGAAGCTGTTTTGTAAGCTTTCTTTGCGTTCACAGGGTGGGCATGTGGATTCCTCACCCTCTTCGCTAAAGGATGATAGATGGTTGGGATCTGCTATTTTTTAGGGACCAATTTTTTATTTTAATTCTTTTCCTATTCCAAAACCAACCCTGCAACCTATGAGGAAGTTGGAGAGAAGTTGGCCAATGGAAGAATAGTAACACTGAGGATCTAGAAAGTAACTTCTTATTTAAACTAGCAACAATAAGGGAAGTTATTTAGGAGAGGAAGATGTACCACTCTACATGTTAAAATCAGAACAGGCAGGACAAGCTGGACCCGACATCTGATAATTCTTTAGAAGAGAGAATTCCAGATCTAAGAATATCAGGCAACATCAGCATACACAAGTTGAGTAGGTTGAGATTTTGGGGGAGTGGTATTTTTGTTTGGGGCTTTTTGTGTGTGTATTTGACTGGTTTTCCTTTTGCTGCTCTTAGCTGGTGACAATCCTGCAAAGAACTTTCCAATTTTCAAAACTTTTCAAGGTGGCTGAAATTGAGTGGTAAACCCTTGCTTACAAACCCATTTTCTGAGTAAGAGGAAAATATCCAGAGAGCTATTACAAGGTGTCAACTCTTAGTGCTCCATTGTAACCCCTTCAAGAACTATTTTTGCTTTTTTGTTTTCAACTAAATCTTAATCTTAAAAATCAAATTTGGGTTGTATATTTGTGCCGTCAGTTTCATATGCCTTTTCTTCTGCCAAGTTACTGCATTACCAAAATACTAAATTCCTCCTAATCAGAACAAGGGCTGAAATTATTAATATTTAATTCTACTACAAAAGAGAAAAAACACTGTGGAAGACAAGTACTCCTTTGAAGGCCATTTGCATTTCTGAAACTGGATCAAATTAATCTTAACATTAGTTGCCTCTGAAATATTAGAGTTTCAATTAATTTTCCACTTACGTTTCTTTTTTTATAAAAAATCTTTTTATGTATTTAAATTGATGCATGCATTTATGGACTGAGTGAGAATAGAATTCAGACTGATTCTTTAAATGACTCAGATGTTAAGAAATACATCAGGCAGGTAGATTTTATTAACATTTCTTTATCTGATGGCAAACTATTTTGCATCACTAGGTTTTCCCAGCTAATACAAACATTCTTGTATTTTAAGGGATTCAGTAAGATTAAACAGTGAAAGTATTGCTAAAGGTTTAAGAATAGGAATTCTGGCCATAATCATCTTCATTCTGATTGCTCACTGGAAGTATTTTTATTGAACAGATTGGAACCTGGCAACAGCTTTAACTGTAGATGATGATATATTTAGATACCCTAGCTTCCCAAGAAAACCAATTAATTTTGCACAAGTCCCTTGAATGAAAGTTTGCCTAAGGCTGAAGTAACCCTGCAGGTAAAACTTCAGGTTAAATAGTATTTTCAAAGATTGTTCAAAATTACCATTTCTTCAGAAACAACTTTAAAGGCTTGTAAAAAGGCAGGAAGGATTGATGATACAAAAATACACAAATCCTCTAGGCCATGCTTTTACAACACAGAAATAAGAATTGCCCCTTAGAGTTTATACAAGTGGTTCAGCTTAATTTGTTATAGTCCTGGCACTTAGGCTAAGAGGCATCAAGTCCATGTTTTTGGTATTAGCTACAACTTGAGCTAGTAACTCATATGTGTACCCATATACAACGTAAAAAGCTCAATTTGTACCATACAGTCTGCAAAGTTAAGGCAGAATTAATGAAGACAGGTGTCAGTCCCAAAACAGTACATAATCCTTGGAAAAATGGATTTGTCTTAGTAATTGTCTGTCTACTTGAAAGTATCAATGGAGACTGCCTTTCCTTGGAGCAGATTGGTATCATCTTTGTCCATGTTCCAGCAAAGTGTTTGGTGATAATGCACTTTTTAAGCTGAATGTGTCTCCACTTGATGAGTGTCGAGAAGTTGCTTTTCCACCTATCAACAAAGTCTCTGCTTCTTTTATTTCCATAGCTCTCTTGTAAAGTTCAGCTGCCTTCTCAAAGTCTCCCCTTTCATAGCTTTGGAAAAGAGTAAAACAAAGTTGAAACAAGAAAATAAAACAAGTCTCTCAATTAATTTAAATTGAAATATATACCATACTATCAACTTAGTATATCTAAAACTCTACTTTCCAAGAGAGTACACAAGCCCAGATGTTTTGTTTCATGCAGTAATTTGCATTTATAGGGTTGAAGCATATAATCTTACCTTAGCACTGCCAAGTTTTTCAGTGTTTCCCCCACACGAGGATGCATGCGGCCAAAGCTATCTTCATAAATCTTCAGTGCACGTTCATAGAGAGGCAAAGCTTCAATCTGCTTTTTCTTTGGGTAGCAGAAAGTTTCTTTGTTACAGATGTGTATTTCTTTGATACAGATGTGTATTACATTGGCTTTGTTTTTTACCAACACAGTATCAATGCATCCTAGCTGACCTACCAGTCACAGCAATTATCTTTTCCCTGTATACATTTTCCTTGCCAAATATGCTTTCAATGTTTAAAATGGAACCCAAGAATTTGCAAGTTCTATAAGGAATTTCCCTTTTAAATATGGTCAAGTTTCTTTAGTTTCATTTAGATACAAATCATAAAAAAGCCTAAGACAAGAAAAATAAAGATTAGGCATGACAAACTTACCATCTGACAGTAAAGGACAGCCAGGTTTACCAGAGCAGTTGCTACACTTGGGTGTTTTGGGCCAAATGACTTCTGTCGAATTTCAACTGCTAGCTCATACAGAGGAACAGCCTTGTCAAGCTTCCCCTAGAAATAACAGGGAAAAATATTACTTGGCTCTCTTATATCAAGATGGTAACAGTAAAAGGTATTTTAAACAAAAGCCTAGAGAAAATCTAACTGTTTCTAGAGTAAGTGGTTAACTTTGGTTAATTAATAGGTATTTTCTGCACAAATTGTTTATCATGAATATTTATGAGAACCTAATTTTCCAAAATACGGGGCCTATTCAACTCCCAGCTAATATGTTTCTCAGCTAAGGTCTAAGCTAGGTCTATTTCTTCCTTTCTTGATTCATTTTTTACCCACAAGTGTCTCATTGAGAAGCATGTAAAAAGAATTTTCAGTTGTACTTTTACTGAAATAGTTTTCTCTGGTGACTTTTAATTTGTATTCCTTCAAACTAGCAAAGAGGTTTTTGATGCAAATATCAAGTGGTTTTGCAGCTTCTAGCAGCATGAAAATTGGAAGCTAAACTGAGCAGAAATTATCGTGGCCCAAAACCATTTAATGCACACAATAGCAAGTAACATTATTTAGCAAAAACATGAGCAAATTTGATCTAAGAGATTATCTTCAAGGTCTTTTCTCTCTTTGAAGAACAGTAAAATATGAAAATATAAAATAGATAAAAGTCTTATAATCCACTGAACTTGATCTTGGTTCCACAGTTGGAAAGAGTCTATCA